AACCAACTCAACAGTAAATTGGTAAGACCTCGTCGCCAGTCAAGTACTGCGCTCAAATTCAAAGAGTCTAGGTAACATGACGAAGACTTGATTCAAACAGTTACCATAAAAAAATATTTATAGAAAGGCAAAAGGCGGCAGTGAGAAAGTCACTGAAACCGAGACGCCAGATCAAGTCTAATAATAAGGCAGATTCTTCTTCGGATTTTATCAAGGAGCTCTAGATATATAGCAGGAACACCGGACCATATGTGGCAGCAATATTCTAACCATGGACGAAGGGTAAACTTATAGATATGTAAGATAGATTCTGGAGATTCTGAAGACGAAACGTGTCTTGCAAGACACAATGAACTAATATTCCTGAAAGGTGACCTACAAATTCAATATAGTCATTCCACTTCATGTCACCCAAGAATGTTAGCCCAAGTGAGTGCATACCACAGCAGGAGTTACACAAATAAATAGTAAATAAAATTTCAGAGTTTATGCCATGATCTTAGAAATATAGACTTGAAATATAGTTTAGAAGAATCGGAAACCCAATTCCAAACAGGAAATAAGGGCTAAACCTATACTCCTGCTCAAAGACTGGTGAAGAGTGGGATTTCTGTGCTTAGAAAAGAAAACACTTCATCGAACACAAGAAAAATTAAATAAAAAGCTTAATCGCAGTCCTTCTCTGTCGTCTTTAATGAAATATATATATATATATATATATATATATATATATATATATATATATATATAAATAATATCACTTGATAATTACTAGAGGTAATTCCAGAGATATAAATCCAAAGAGATCTCAATGTAAGAAGAGACCAAATATGCCACTGAAAAATTTATTTTGGTTGGGGTCTCTGGGGAGGAAGTGTGGGTTTGTAAACAGTCACTATTACGTCTAATAATGCAAGACTCTTCGGTAAGGCGAATTGGGTTCTCTCGGTCACTGTGTATTTATCTAAACATGAATACGCTTAAATTTACATTCATTCTTGCCGTGCGCCAAAAGCTTATGGGTAGAATCTCCGACTGACACCAATTCCAACAGGTTTCGACCCAAGCTAGAGGCAACCGGACGTCTAGCCACACTCATGAGCTATGATACAGCGAAACAGTCTGTCTGTGGATGACAATATATATATATATATAGTCTGAAGACTTTAACTGCATAAGAGTTTCGGTTTTGTCAAGTGGTCCGTTTGTTCCATCAGCGTTTTTGGGGTTTTCTTTAATAAATATATATATATATATATATATATATATATATATATATATATTTATTAAAGACATTTTATTATGTTTAACGTTGTTATTTATAGATACAAGTATTTAAGTAAATGCTCTGTTTATAATAAACAGTATTAAATAACATTTACTGGCCTGAATGTCCGAGAAATTTTCATAGAACATATTCGTCCTTTGACAGGATTCGAACCTGCATCCTATACGGAACCGTTATTTACGCTGACGTGCCTTACCGACCGGCCACAAATGAGCGTTCGGTAGACAAGGTCGAATTTACTGTTTATAAACTTCAATCTTCTATGAATCTCGTATATTCATAACTGCTCTGGCGTATCGAATGTAAACAAATGACGTCATATGTTAAGAAATGGACAAGGTCCGACAATTGATTTATTAAAGACATTTTATTATGTTTAACGTTGTTATTTATAGATAATTTGTTTACATTCGATACGCCAGAGCAGTTATGAATGTACGAGATTCATAGAAGATTGAAGTTTATAAACAGTAAATTGACCTTGTGTACCGTAAGGTTCTTTGTATGAGACAATTAAGGCACGTCAGCGTATATAACGGTTCCGTATAGATGCAGGTTCGAATCCTGTCAAAACGAACGAATATTTTCTATGAAAAATTTCGGACATTCAGGCCTTATAAATGTTATTTAATACTGTTTATCATAAACAGAGCATTTGCTTAAATACTTGTATCTATAAAATGTCTTTAATAAATCAATTGTCGGACCTTGTCCATTTCTTAACATATATATATATATATATATAATAGTAGGCAGTATATATTTATATATAAAGAAATAATCATTCATAGAATCAATCAGCTATATTAATGCGATTAATGGCGAAATCACTTCGCTTGTAGAACATAATGTATGCATTAAAATACTATTAATCCATTGAATGATGTGATTCTCCTTTATAAAACTGTCGTCAGATGTGTCTAGCGTATATTTTTTAAGTTAAGCAAGTACTTTTGAAGATCCATGTCTCCATCATAAGGCTTTAATTTCTTTTTCCTTTAAAGTTAAAATTTGAAGAAGAAATAATTGTCTGTAGACAGGAAGATGTTTTTAAGAATTTGCTATTTATTAACGGTTGTACAATCTCGGAACGATAAAGTTCAAAGTTTCAAGTGAGAATTTTATTGGAATTTTGTAATATGGTAAATCCACGAATTCTTTTTTTACAAGTGTTTTTCAGTTAAAATGACATGAATTAAGTATATAGTTCAATTAATATAGTGATATGTCGTATTTTTTTTTCTCAGAAATTTCATACTGCGGGATCTTTTTTTTTATAAACATATAATATTAGGCAGCATATATTTTTATATATAAAGAAATAATCATACATAGAATCAATACATAAATTATTTCTTTATATATATATATATATATATATATATCTATATATATATATATATATATATATATATATATACATGAATATATATATATATATATATTCCACTGAAATATTGCAATCGTCAGGCGTACATAGAAAACGGAAGAGTTGTACTAGTATCAGTTTTATATATATATATATATATATATATATATATATATATATATATATATATATATATATATATATATATATATATATATATATATATATATATATATATATATATCGTTATAATATGTAATTAATATATATTATTCTACTATAATGTCACAAATTATTAATGTATGTTTTTCTTTTATATTATAAAATTTTAAAGAAAAAAACTCAAGTGGAATGGTTTCTTTGTCAGGCCGATAACTTTTCAAAAGTTTGAGACCTTCCCAGGTAATATTTTAAATTGGCTCAGAAAAAGTTTCTATTTGGTTAAAAAAGTAAGATGTGATTTTATTAGAAATATTATTATGCCAAAAAAAAAAAAATATTCAGTTCATGATTAAATTTTGCTCTCGTCAAAATATCCTCCTTTAACTTTAATTACTGCAATACACATTTTTGTCATTCGTTGCAAAAGATTCTAAAATTATAATGTTGATAATTTCATTCTATTCTTTTTTCAATGACTATAAGAACACGTTTTCATTTCTTCTTCTCTCTATGCTAATTCTGGGTGGTTCCAAACGTTAGAATTTTAGTATATATATATATATATATATATATATATATATATATATATATATATATATATATATATATATATATATATATATATATATATATATATATATATATATATATATATATATATATATATATATATATATATATATATATATATATATATATATATATATATATATATATATATATATATTACTCTTCAAGTATCAGTTGAGTTCTAGAGAAAATCGTTAAGATTCCTTTCCTTTCTGCCGTGTGAAGGTAAGATATCTGACACGTCAAATCAATCGGGTTTCAATCCAGGCTTGAAGCAATCGAATGTCTTGCCACACTTAGGAGCTGTCATACAACGAAAGCATATATATATATATATATATATATGTGTGTGTGTGTGTGTGTTAGAGAGCGTTCTCATTATAAGGTATTTCGCTTCTCTGAAATATATCTTTTTATTAAATGGAATCGAGTTCTAGTAGGCACCACAATTATTCCGATAGGATCGAGGCCGCTTACTAACCTTTAGAAACAGCTTCATGTGAATTGTGGACTGCGATGAACTATGTCTGAAGAATTTACAGCATACAATCAACTAGTCTCATTCGGTTGAAAAAAAAAAACAGAGCTCTTTGCTAGACAAGTCGCCGCTCTTCCATCGATTGTCTTCCTCCTCAGCAAATCAATCTCTTTCTTGAAATCCAAACTTACGCATTAAAAACCTGTCAGATAAATGCCGGTTAGATTTCATTTAATATGAACGACATCCCATAAATATTTATTCGCTTTTAATTAAGTTAGACAATGTAATTTGCATAAAAAGTAAAATTACTGCTGACCATCTTTTGAAGACTATAATTAATTAAATTGGAAATGTCGACTCTAAAATACGCCGCAAATCTACCAAATTTTGAAAGATTTACCTAGATATACCGTATATACTAAGAATCAATAGACAATTACTGGGTATCTATGCTTTATATTCTGTAATAAGGACCAACAGGGTAGAGACATCCAATGGGTTAAATAGTAAGCTTAATAATTTCTTTGGTTTAACTCCAACAATGCGAAGACAGTGAAAATATTTAGACGATTGATTTACGGCGTCCAATTTCTAGACAGGAAGTTAAATAAATTTTAATATATGCCTTCCGTAAATTACTAGTAACCAAGAAGGTAGATTAGGCGAAAAGGGCTGACATATTCAGGAATATTTTCCTCAGACAATATTTATCGATCGCAGTATGTACATCTCTCTCTCTCTCTCTCTCTCTCTCTCTATACATATATATATATATATATATATATATATATATATATATATATATATATATATATATATCGCTGTCTCTTCATCTCTATCTATCTCTATCTATCAATGTCAGTTCATATTTATCTATTTCAGTCTGTTCATATATATCGCTCTCTATTTATCTGTTCATATCTATCGCAGTCTGTTCATATCTATCTATCTATGTATATATATATATATATATATGTATGTATATATATATATATATATATATATATATATATATATATATATATATATATATATATATATATTATATTTCATATCTATCGACGACTGTTCATATCTATCTATCCATCTATCTGTTCATACCTATCGCAGTCTGTTCATACCTATCGCAGTCTGTTCATATCTATCTATCTATATCTATCTATGTATCTATCTATCTATCTATCTATCTATCTGTTCATATCTATATATCGCAGTCTGTTCATATACCTCTCTCTATATATATATATCTATCTGTTCATATCCATGTCAGTCTGTTCATATCTATCTATCTATCTATTTATCTATCTATCTATCTATCTATCTATCTATCTATCTATCTATCTATCACATTCTTCTCATCGTAGTACTGACATCCCTCGATTGATGCGTGTTTGATTGATGCGCTAATATTTTATTAGCCAAAACTCGATTAGTGCATGCATCATACTCGATTAGTGCGGTAAAACATTCTTCAGTTTAACCATAATAAATGAAAATTGATTTTTTATAGTTACCTATGTAAAAATGAGCCGCATATATATATATATATATATATATATATATATATATATATATATATATATATATATACATGAGTGAAAAATCAAATGCAGATCAAATATGGTGCGAAATCCGGAACAGACAAAAGGACAGAAACTTTCAATTTTGTATTGGCCATCTCTCATTGGTCAGTTACGTATCATGTGCATTAAAACCGTAGATAATTCTATTTGTATGTACATTTTTAAGTATTCTTTCATGTCTAACTAGGCATCGGATTGTAGCATGTATTGGTAATTGTGTCTTTCCTGTAGGAGTTCTAATGTCTACACCTTTGCGATCAGCTGGCACAGCGGTGTGACATTTCACTCTAATCTGCGACTAATCTTTTTAAGCAAGTACTCTTTTGTATTAGATAGATATGTTAGATATTTTGAGAATGGATTCAAAGATGTCGATATAATTTAATGTTTTAGCAGTGTGTTTTGTAGTTAATAATAATGTTATTATTAAGCTTCAAAGAGTTATCTTTTTTTTTTTAATTACGGTGTCATTAGCGAAATCAAACTTATCTCCAACATTGTTTCTTTGCAAGACGAGAGAGTTTGATCGTTCGTCTAAGCGCAAATCTCGCTTGTGTTCGCAGATGCGGTGATATCTACCCCACATAAACATTTTTGCATTGTAAACAATTTATTTGATAAACCCCGGCATTTGGATTGGCATTGGGTTTATTTTTCTTCCTAATTATATCCCCGCTTGTCTTGGAGCTCGGGTTAACGTTTCTAATATTAGGAATAACAAATTTATATGCGAGTTTAACAGAAAGTGTGTTGGAGGGCAGTATTATGACTGATGTAATTTTAGTTCGAAGTATTATTGGCGGTGTGTTTTTGGCTTTGGGAATTACGTAAGCCAGTTTTTTTTTTAAACGTTGAGGATGAAATGATATCAATAGTGAAGGAATCTAAATGTTTTCTCAATATATTTCTGTTCTTTCTTATATTACGTCGCCATCTTTCTTTGGATCCATTCTTAAAGAATTTAATATAGGAAATGCGTGCTTAAACTCTGAGTAGATCTCCTTTAACTGCCGTGAAATTTTAATAAATATACATACATATATTAATATTAAGAACTTTATTTTTTATTAGGTTGGCGAGTTTTTGATAGCAACCGGTATAAATTGAGAAAATTTACTTAAGAAAAGTGTGACTCCGACTGCATAGCTTCTTCCCATCGATGTAAACAAACTTTGAAGAAAAGCGTGGTGCTTCAATTTGGTCACGGAAACCCAGCTAGCAATGAAAGTTTTGAATTTCCTATTTAAACATCTCTCTTTTTTTCTTTCTTTCTTTCTTTCTTTCTTTCTTTTTTTCTTTCTTTGTCGCTCTGTCTCTCTTTCTCCTTCTCTCTCTCTCTCTCTCTCTCTCTATCTCTCTCTGTGAATATGGATATAAATACGAGCATATTTTAATATATGTCATCTTGGGAAACTGCTATTTTGACTCGTCTCACCAATTTGCTTAATATTTCCCATCACATAAAATGGACGCGTATGCCATCAGATCTTTCGTGATCATAATAGTGGCCCAGAAAAAGGGCCGTTCTAATAAAAACAAAGAATTTTAATTTTGGCGAATGAAGAGAGTGAAGAATATATATATATATATATATATATATATATATATATATATATATATATATATATATATATGATATGATATGAAATGATTACTTAACTTTTAAATGCCAATATCATTCCGACTTCGAAGTTCCTTGTTAAAATATCCAGTTTTCAAGGGGTTTGGGTTTGGGATTTAAAAGGTATTTCCGAAATATTCAAACATTAAGTAATCTTTTCATATAATATTAACTCTAAATCTCAAAAAACAGTAAACTATTTGAATTTTTTCCCAGGTTTTCAGATGAGACGACGTTTAGCCATGGTTACACCATTTGTCCTATGAATCTTTAAAAAACCTCTTGAGTTATTCAACTAAAAAGAGAACAAAATCATTTTGTGTCTGTCCCACTGTCTTCCAAAATGAGAAATGGGAAATATTTCTCAATGAGGCCTTCAGTAATGGTACCAACATTCATAGACTGGTTTGCATCTTCAAAGTTCATTCAAGAACCATCAAGAGAGAAGTGAATAAGTTAAATAGAGATGAAGCAGTAGAAAGGGAAATTGGATAAGTTGGTAACAACAGAAAACGGGATCATCATATCTACTTAGAACGAAAGAGACCAATTAGAAAAGATCCAACTCAATTCTTTAGGTGTTTGACAGTTTATAGAGGAGTTTCAACCATGGCAGTCTAAACAGCACTGAAAAAATATTTTTGTGTCTAGTCACTGGATCAAACCAACGCTTTTATCCATCTGTGCAACGGCAGAAATTTCGTGAATATGGAAACACAGATGAGGACAACAGTCAGAACATTGTAACTATTGTAAATATTTAATAACCTAACATTTAAAATACCACGCAAAAATGAAATAAGTTATTTTTCAGCATGCTCACATTCGCTAGCGAAGCTACAAGGTCAAGGTTTAAAGGGTGGGTAACGGCAATGTTTTAGAAAAATTGAAGTCCCTACGACACATTCATTTGTGAGGGCGCCTCAGGCTCCGGGCAATAAACTCAGAAATGCAGACAAAAATATTTATTTTACCATTTAAAGATTAATTAATATATATATTCACAAATACGCGTGTGCTTGTGTGCATGTGTTTGTACACACACACACACACACACACACACACACACACACACACACACACACACATATATATATATGTGTGTGTATAATGCCACACTTTTTAATTAAAGAGACAAAATTGTAATAGCTCATCTCTTCTTCTATATAATAAATGCCAATGTCAATGTACCATTACGCCACATTTTTTCTATTATACTTCTAAAATCCGTAGAACAACCTACGCAATTTTGGAATCAGGCCTACTCCGTGAGCAAATTAAAACATTCCCGGCCAAATCCAGAACCACAATCCTGAAAAATATTATTGTTTCGGATTCCGCTATCTTGGCTTCTGCTGATAAAAACAATTATAATAACACAACTCTTTAACATTCAATAGCTCATGTTAAAATGAAAAATTACTGTTCCCAAATTAGAGTATTTCAAAATAAAATTTTCCGTGTTTTGAACTTTACTCCCAGAGGATGTAGCACAGTATATCATACCATTTTGGAAGCAGGGCGAATACGTAAGCACATTGAAAGAATTTCCGGTCGGATCCATACCCGCAATCCTGAAACTTTGGATTCCCAAGTTTTCATCACTGCGTTTGTTTCGGCGATTTTTTACGTGACTTCCTGGGACGGATTTGTTTGTATGGTAACAATTTGTATAACTTGGAACTGAATTTGGGAATAATCGAAATTGGATGCGAAATCCAGGGAAAGTCACCCATGAAATAAAAAAAAAGTTAGTAGAGAAAGTAAGGACTTACTCACATCAAACTGGTAAGCGGAAATATTATTGCAATGCGTAAATGCAGAGAACAGTTATGAGTACTTCTTATGGTGAAGGCCCAATAAAGTGCCTTGCGCAGACATGCGTATATATATATATGTACATATATATATATATATATATATATATATATATACGCATGTCTGATTGAATTTTTAGGCATGTCTGATTGAATAATTTACAAGCATTATGCCTGCTTATTTTGATCATAATCCTTTCATGTTCATGAATATTTTTCCGTATATTCGTGAATAAGAAAGGATTATGACCAAAATAAGCAGGCATAATGTTTGTAATTTATTCAATCAGACATTCCCAAAAGAGAATTTGTTACCTAAATGCACACACACACACACGCGCGCGCGCGCGCGCGTGTGTATGTGTGTGTGTGTGTGTGTGTGTTTATTCGTTATTTGTTTAGTGGCATGTCAACACCTTATGGCTCCTTTAATACTGAAATTTAATTTTCTTGGAACATGAGTATTTTTTGCAAAAAGAAAAAAGAAACTGGCTGCTAATCTTTTATGTATGAAAATGTATTGCTGTTTTTTTTACTATCCAGATGTATGTTTATACTATCATAATGTTTTGACACTAGGGCAATAGACAGCACGGAGGCCTAGATCAAGTGACTTAAGGATGTAGTTCTTCCTTGGTTCAAGAGGGTGGCTGCTGGAAGACTTTATATATGGCCACAGAACTCAGCAACATGATACACAAGCAGGATAACCCAATCATGGGCGTCATACAATTTCTGCAACCATATCACCCCTTACTTCTGGCCACCTAACTCCTCAAATTGCAACCCCATTATGTGTAGGGTGAATTGGGGCGCGACACCAACAAAACTTGTATCAGCAAAGATGACCTGAAGGCAAGGATTATGGTAGCGTTCACCAACTTAAACAAAAAGATCGTCCAGAAGAGTTGCATTAAATTACGAAATCGTCTGGAGGTCGTGGAAGAAGCCAATGGCGACTTTTTGAATAAATTCACTTTAGTATTTCAAGATATTTTTGTGTAAATTTGTTGAATATATCCATTAAAACGAGATGTCAATTTTATTTTCACTTTTGCGTAATTTAGACAAGTTATTTATCTACGGCCCCATATATATATATATATATATATATATATATGTATGTATGTATGTATGTATTTATGTATACATATATATATATATATATATATATATATATATATATATATAAGCAAGTGTAAATGGATATATATCCGACAGAATGAAGAAATTTTGAAAAAAACAAGCAAAAATCCTTAAATGTAGATAAATGAAAAAAATTTCGACGTCTATCGTTTCTGAATTATTAAACCTTTTTTCAAGTCCATATTCATTTGTCAATTGAATTCAATTGTATTTTGATGAATATTGTGGACTTAAAACAGGTTTAATAAACCGAAACGTCAACGTCGACATTTCTTTCATTTAACTACATTTAAGGATTTTTGTTTGTTTTTTTCAAAATTTCTTCATATATATATATATATATATATATATTTATGATCACAAATAATATTTTTTAAATTTGCGTGACATGTCTTACACAGCAATTTTATTGATATGAATTTAATTAAATAAATGTCGAGTTGTTCAGTATCTAAAAGAAACAAAAAACGATATCCGGAAAGAAGCTACTGATGTTATTTAATTAAGCAAATAATAACACTGATATTATTGAATTAAAAAAATGAATTCCACGCTCAGACACACATACACAAGCGCATACACCCCCATATATATATATATATATATATATATATATATATATATATATATATATATATATATATATATATATATATATATATCCTTAAACAGCACAGACGTCATACCTTAGGAACCTTTCGGCCAACACATTTTCAAAGGTATTCGTTGGCGATTGGGAATACAAATGAAGACATACTCAATAAAATAAATGAGGAGGGAAAGGTGGAACACGATTAAAAAGAGAAATTTTAATTACACACCATTAAAATTGAATAGGCGGGGGTGAAAATAACAAGTTCCACTAAAGTATAAAATGGGAAAAGAGACATTCACAACCCCTCCAACAAATCGCAAGGAACGTAAAAAAATGTTCCGTTTTGTGTACACATGCTTGGCTGAGGACACTCAATCAGGCGGACCATGAATCGGCTATCGGTCAGCAATTGCTAGACAATCATGCTTGTTCCTATGAATATGAAGACACTTGGTTTACAATATAACACAGCGCTCGCTCAGTATAACATCTCCGCGTCTTGGAAGCTGTTTTTATAAAGTGTCAAAAAATGGAGAACGCTCATAATTATTTTTCAGGTTACTCTGTAATCTATGGGGAACGACAAGTGACGCAATTCAATGTTTAATGTCTAATAAACAAAATTCAGTGAATGACTTTCCTTCTTTTTTGATTTAATGCAAATTTGCATTTAAAATATCTTGGTTTGCGCTTAATGTATATGTTATGACGTCCTCCTTATATATTTCATATCTCTCTCGCTTTCACTCTCTCTCTCTCTATACATACATATATATTTATATATATATATATATATATATATATATATATATATATATATATATATATATATATATATGAAGGAATTGTTAGTGAGTTAATGTTTCATTAATCTTGTTAGCAAAAGTGATTTCGTTATTACCCTCATTAACATTGCTAATTACTTTGTGCATAAATTACTTCTTTAAAATATAATAGCTGCGAATTCTAATATATTTACGAAGATAAGATCCGCATTATGTAAATTCAGAATCATAAATTCTATCGAAAAATACTAAGAGAAATTACTGATCAATTTTTGATTAAAATTAAGTCCATGCAACTTTAACTTGAAAACATATATAACAAGAAAATTTCCCGGATTTATCCAATTACAAAATTCAAACAAAATTCTAGATTTGAACAAAAACTCGAGCTTCTCGG